ACAAGAGAATCCAAACTCCTGTAGCCTACAGTACAGCAAGCACAAATTTAAGAAAAAAAAAAGATATATTTAGAACGAGAGTCAGAAGCAAGTTTAAAAAAAAACACTGTGGGAAATCAAGGGAAGTTTATCTTCAACGAACGGCAAAGAAAAAGCTCTATGAAAAGGGCAGCACTGACAGGGACTCAGAGAAATTTAGGCAACAGGCAGGGGGGCGGATTCAGAAAATGATGGGGGAGATTCAGATAAAGTTTATTTTACCAGGCTTAGTTGTTTTCAAGTCCTACTAAGGTGTAAGTCTTTTCCCAACAATGTTTCACCCTGACATTTGTGATAAGCACCTATAATCACCATCTATCCACTATTCTTGGAAACTTTCTTAAGTATTTTAGATTATTATATAGAAGAAAAAGCTTTGGACTGGCATGTTTTTAATACAAATTCACAAACCCTCCTGTTTCAGATCCATTCTATCCTGGGGGGAAGAAATTAGTATTGGGACTTATTTACATTACTCCATAGAAGGAAAAGAACAGAAGCTGAGTTGTAACTGTTGTTTCAGTATCAGATAGGGTATTCCTGATCTGGTTCATGACTGTGAGGAGCCCTACTGCTTCCCCATATCTACAATATACACAGTATTTGACCATGATGAAAAAAGAAACCTTTAGGGCTGGGGATAGCTCAGTGGTTTCGCTGCCTGCTGCTCAAGCGTGAGGACCCGAGTTCGATATCTGGTACCAAAAAAAAGAAAGAAAAAAGAAACCTTTGTTGTGTCAAACAGTATAGATACATAAATGATCAGGTAAAGAACTTGAAATATGTACCATGTACTTTAAACTTAAAAACAGGTACCATCCCCAGTGTGTGCATTTAATATAAAGTACTCTTGCTACAACTAGGGCTATGTAGCTCAGTTGCAGAACACTCAGCTAGCATTCGACAGCCCCTAGGTTTGATCCCCAGCACCTTCAAAAAACAAAACACCCTTAACTAAAAGCTTCCAAAAAACAGATATAACCATAAATTTTTGAATTTCAGG